AGTTCTTCCAGGAGAAGGTTGAGTACTTAGGTCATGTGATATACCCAGGTGGTTTAGGAGTTCAGCAAGCAAAGGTGGAGGCTATTGCACGCATCCCTCGTCCCACGGATGTGAGTAGAGTTTGTGCATTTATGGGTTTAGCGAACTACTACCGGAGGTATGTGAAGGGGTTAAGTGCTATAGCCAAGCCTTTGAACCAGTTGCTGAAGTCAGATCAGGAGTGGCAATGGGGAGATGAGCAGGAGAGAGCTTTTGTTGAGCTCAAGGCCAGGTTGGTGGCCGCTCCCATCTTGAGGAGACCTATCAGAGGTCGTCCATACCAATTGCACATTGATTGGAGTATGTTGGGACTTGGAGCGGTGTTGACGCAGCGTGATGATGAGGGCAAGGAGTTTGTGGTTGCGTACGCTAGTCGTTCGAACAATGCAGCGGAGTCGCGGTATAGTTCGTACGAGGGAGAGTGCTTGGCAGCGGTGTGGGCTGTGGCGCACTTCAGGTGTTACTTGTTTGGGACGCAGTTCACCCTTGTTACTGATCATCAACTGCTCAAGTGGTTGATGGAGTCCGACAAGCTTACAGGGAAGCTTGCACGGTGGGCTCTCATCTTACAGGAGTACGACTTTCAGGTGGTGCATAGACCTGGAGTTGCGAACCTAGATGCCGATGGTTTGAGTCGAAACCCATGCACTAGCCAGGAGGATGACACTGGAGCTAGATGGCATGGTGAGGTTGACGAGAAGATGGTGCCTGGTTGGCATGCATCTGCCTTCATGCGTTGGTTACGTGGGAACTCCAGCAGAGAGGATCATCTGACATCTTACTCTAGTCAGAGAGTAGATGGTCGATCTCGAGATCCTAAGGTTGAGGATGGTGGTGTGGATCAGCGTGATGTACACGATGATGCATTGGTGTTGGAGTTCCTACGGACCAGCATGGTGCCAGGCATAGTGGGTGCCAAGGAGCGAGATCGTGTTCTCCAACGGCCCAAGAGGTACCGATTGGAGGGATCACATGTTCTCCGAGTGTGGGAGGACGGTAGGGTACGAGTAGTACCACATCCAGCCCAGAGAGCATGCATTGTGAGGCATGCTCATGAGGAGTTGGGACATTTTGGAGTGAAGCGTACATACAGCTTACTCCTTGGTCAGTATTGGTGGCGTGGTATGCATACTCAGGTACAGCAGTTGGTATCACGTTGCATGGTTTGTGATCGAGTGAGGGCATCAATCAATGCCTCGACACCAGTGTTACATCCATTACCCATCATGGGGTTGGGTTACCGTTGGAGTTTGGACTTTGCTGGACCACTACCTTTGACTGTACGACATCATCGGTATGTGTTTGTGATGGTGGAGCATTTCTCCAAGTGGATTGAGTTGGTGGCATTACCTGACAAGGCAAGTGAGGGAGTAGCGTATGCTTTTCTTGACAGAATGCTTAGTCACTATGGTGCACCAGCTGAGGTGTTGACCGATCAGGGAACGGAGTTTCAGGATGAGTTTCAGATCTTGTGCGACAAGGCACTGATTGATCATCGGACCACGTCGCGAGATCATCCAGAGGCGGATGGTTTAGCTGAACGTGTTGTACAGACGGTGAAGAGGGCGTTGCGCAAGTATGGCCTGCAGAAAGGTCATCTTGGGGACTGGGATATCCAGTTACCGTGGTTGGCCATGAGATATCGGTTAAGTCGGCAGGCATCCTTGGCTTCCTTCTCACCATATTTTCTATTGTACGGCCGAGATCCAGACTTGCCAACATCGATTCGTCGTGAGTCTAGCGAGGTGGTGAACCTTGATGACCCGAATATGTGGGTGATAGTATGTTCTCAACGTAGAGAGCTCTTTCGGAGAGTTATGCCTGCAGCGTTTGAGAATCTTGCGATTGCTCAACATAGAGATACGTTGCGGTATGCAACCATTCGGGGAGGAGGTTATCGACCATCAATTCGTAGATTCCATGTGGGAGACTACGTCTATCTACAGCAGACTGCACCGACGACATTGGATGTGACGGCGAGACGCACAATCTTGCGGGTGCGGGAGGTGTTACCTTCTGGAGTTCTCCTGTTATAGGGACGTGACGGCGTTGTTTGGAAGGATCATGTGCGCAATTGTGCGCCATGCCACCTCCCAAACGTAGATGGCACTATGGACCCAAGCTTAGCGATAGTACGTGCTGGCTTGAAGTGCATGCTATGTGGGTCAGCTGGTCAGGCGGCCCGTATGTTGGTGTGTGATAGGTGCTCTAGGGGATGGCACATGTCGTGCCTATCGATGTTATTCCGGCTGGACGATGGGTTTGTCCTCGATGTACTTCATAGGGGTAGATGACTTGATCTTCACATGTTATGAATTGCAGATAGGCGACTAACGATGGGGCGACATAGCACCCGGCCTGCTGGTTCGCGCACCCAAGAAGGTGTATAGCATGTAGTTGTAGATAGGGCTACCTGGGAGTCAGAGGGACCTGACCGCCAGCTAGGGGGGCGAGTTGTGACATTTGAGTGTGTACTTTCTCGCGCCTTATATGTGTGTATGTGTGTGCGTATGTGTATGTGAGTAGCATGTCAGCGATGTAGAGTGTATGGCGATATGTATTCGCACGACAGATTCACGTGACAATATGATCAAAATTAAACATTTTAGTTAAATCTATCATTATTTTTTATATTTCTAAGTTGTTCTTTTAATAAGCCAAACTGTACTGTATTAAAATTTTAATGCTATAAGAGTCTGAATATCTTCTTAGTAAACCAGAATGAAATAAAAGAAGCTTTGTAACAAATTTGTATGCCTCTTATAAGTTTAAAATAAACATATAACAAAATGGTAATATCATAGTACAAATATATTTATTCCGTGATCGATATTGATTATTTTCATTAAAAACCATATAAATAAAGAATAAATATATTACCTAAACAAGAGCTTCATTGGATGATATTGATTTTACTTACATGATCTACATATATGAATCCATAAAACAATGAAATATTATATTTTAACAAGTTTCATAATGCAAAAAAATTATTTTTTTTTTTTACAAATCACAAGTTATTTTTTTAAAATATTGTACTACATTCACAATAAATATTAAATGAATATTTGTTCTATACTGAGATGAAGTCTATTTGAAATAGCACGATTCTAAGTTGTTGATTAGTTGATGAGCATCACTCCAACAATAAATACATGGAGTGTCTACCTATGTGTATGGATTTTTTAAGACGACACATTATGATTGAACGTAGTTGAAGATATACAGGAGATTTGAACTATATTTTTTTGCACAAACTTTGATAGGATTGTGTGAATTACTATTTCTCACCATTAAGAGCTGATTTAGGCTAAATATGAATAACTAACTTTTTTCTTTCTTTCTGAAACAGCTTATATCGATGATTTAAGAGCCTAATCTTCTAAAAAAGAAGCTGTCAATGCTCTAACTTAAACCATGTATCTTCATTCACATGATCTAAACAGTCCGTTAGCACTAGTTGCTTATTACGTCTGCTGCATCAACTGTTATATACATTCGCAAACACTCGTGTCTTCCTTCCTGAGTCCGGATGCCGTCAAAGAATCTTGTAATAGGTTCAAACCAGGAGTCGATCTAAACTATAACATCTGTTGCTTGGATCTGGATATCAAAGAGTTACATTGTGACAATTTATCTCATACTGTAGTATTTGTTGTTGTTTTGTATTTGCTATTCTGCACATGCAATGTTGATGTCTTATCGTATCCGCACGAAACGTAAGAAAGGGACCAGGAGATCAACAAAACAGAATTTAGTGACTTTATGAACGCGCATAATGTGACGTGACTATGTACAAAAATATTGTTGAGACGAAGAAATTGTTGATCAGAAAGATGGTCTCATAAAAACCTCCCGAAAGTTTTTCAAAGTCGCATAATACAAACATGACAAAACGACATGCAGGCAAACGTCACATCAGTGGATGAGAGAGTATACACCAAATGACTTCCGCCATGATAATGACTTACATCTCAGTCTGATAAATTGACAAATTGACAAATACTACCGCAGCAGTGTCTAACAAGAGCACAACGGCGATGACTTGCGTCTCAAGCTATTCTGGAACAATGACGAAACAAGGCGTGCATTGCTTTGATGATAACCCATACAAGTCAACGTGCTAGTGTATCACATTAAATCTCTCCACACGATATTAAAAAACCATTAAATTCTCTAAATGCAAATAAAAAGTGAAAGAATGCTGGAAGAGGTTAAGCGGTAGATGTGATATTCGAATGATATCTGTAACCGAAATGGGCACTTTAAGCATGGATAAGCACAAACAATATGAGTAGGCACGTATTGGAAGTTGTACGCTATTTACCGGATGCGTTGCAGTTGTCCAGGGCCCACCGAAGGCGAGAAAGGTATGAGGGAGGACGGAAGTGGAGGAGAAGGGACAGATGGAGACGGAGTCCGTGCGGCTCCGTGAGAGCTTCGGTGAAATGGACGGAGGATTGGAGCGAGGGCCGGCGGACGGAAGAGAGGGCGGGGAAGGTAGAAAACGCAAGGACGAGAGCGACGAGAGCGACGGAAGGAGGTCCCGTTCCTTCTCTTCGTCTTCGTCTTCCCGGAGGGAGTGAAGGGAGAGGAGGAGGAGGAGGGCAGCAGGAGGAGCAGCACAGCAGAAGCAGCAGCAGCAGCACTGTCATAAGCTTTGTGATCGGCCGGATGAGTTTGGTGGTGAGCGCTGAGCGTCGTCGTCGTCATCGTCGTGGTGCAGTGCTGCTCGCACTGCGGTCGAGCACTGCCTTGCTGACTTCAGCGAGGGCCCGAGGAGGAGCAAGAGGAGGAGGAGGAGGAGGAGGAGAGGCTGGAAGGGAGACTTTCTTGGAAAGGCGGGGCTGCTTGTTGTAGGACGAGGACGAGGAGGAGCAGAGAGAAGGGGAGGGAGGAGGAGAAGGAGAAGGGGAAGGCTTTGTGTAGGGTTTGGAGTTGGGAGCGAACGTAGGGATTGAGTATCGACGGGAGGAGAATCGAGACGAAGAAGAAGAATACCGAGGGGGGGATCGATTGGTGGATTGATTGGGTGATTGGAGCGGAGGAAGTTCGGAGATCATGTCGACCCCATCGAGAAAAAGACTGATGCGTGACTTCAAGCGCCTGCAACAGGATCCCCCGGCGGGGATCAGTGGAGCGCCTCAAGACAACAATATTATGCTCTGGAATGCTGTTATATTTGGGTACGGCTTTCCTGAACTGTGTTCTCGTTCATTGTCTCCCTGAAGCCTTGTTCGCGAATAGAATCTCACCCCGACTGGACTCTCGGGCGGAATGTTGGTTTTGTCGACGTTGTATGTCCTGTCTCAGATGTTCTGACGGATGACGATTATGGTTATTAACGTACTGTATGTGCTCCTTGTGAGTCATCCGCCTTGAGTCATGTGCGTGTCTTTTCTCCAGTGCCCTGGTCGTACTCCCATTGCTGAGTATCTCTCGTTGAAGGCGATCCCCAACTTGTTTACTGGAAATGCTTTTAGAGGTTAGAGGGTCCATTTTTCCCGGTGGGGGATGGGTGGGTTGGAAGTGGGCTTCAAGGGTGCCGGAGACTCAGTCGAGTGCAATTCTCCTTAGATTGTGTTGATAGGTAGGTATTCTTCTATTTCGGGGCTTGAGATGTTCTGCTACAACTGTTATGTGCTGAAGCCCATGTCAGTTGTAGCAGACTGCGAGCAATTTGTATAGGTCTAGAATATGATTCTCAATTACTTGGAAGGGAAGGATTGTGCGTTCTTACTATGACGTGAAGTGACCTTATTGGCTCCTCCCTTTTGCAGGCCCGATGACACTCCTTGGGATGGAGGTCCGTATTCCAAAAACACTTAACCTCGATTTCGGTGAAAGTTGAACCAGTTCAAGGAAATTTGTGGTTTATTCTTCTCTACTGTTTTCGTGGCACGCGTGGATTTCCACGTCGAAGATTCAATTGGTCGCGTCTGCGACCTACTTGAGAATAGTGACAGAAAATGTGCTCTGAATGTTAATTTAAGCTCGTAAGAAAGCAATTCTATCGGTACCAAAGCTTGTGGAAGTTCTAACTGTTTTAAAATTCGGGTTTTTGCATGACTTTGCAGGTACTTTCAAGTTGACTCTACAGTTTACTGAGGATTACCCAAACAAACCTCCAACAGTCCGATTTGTTTCAAAGATGTTCCATCCGAATAGTAAGTCGTCTGCTCCCACCTAGTTCCTATTCTCGTGGATATAATTCTCTGAGCCTGTTGTCGGTGCCTGTCGTGCAATTCGTGAGATTCCTGCTTTCGGTTTCGAGTCCGAGGTAATAGGGTTTGGAAATTGTTGATACATATTCTGGAATAAGTAGATTGTGTCTGCCGTCAATCTATCATTGAAAGAACGAGGAGTAATTTAGTCGTTGGCTTTGCGGTCACGTGAATGAGATGGTGCATAGGTACGCGATCTTGTGTACTTGCCGCGCCGAGTGTCTGTTGCTGTGATGTTTGTAGCAGGCTTGAAGCTAGACCTTCGAGGTCCGGCTGGCTCAGCTTTTCCCTTACCATTGGGTATAGTGCCAGTAGGCTGGAAGAGGGCGCTAGCACCACAGTCCTTGAATTTTAACTCAGCTTGGTACTGGTGCAGGATGTCGTTCTTTGAACTGCATACTGTATCTACTTCCTACGGCAACATGTAGCTAGATTTTTTGTCCTCTTGGATTTGTCTGGTAATTGCAGAGTTTCTTGAAGAGCCATCGCGTAATTTTCTCCGTAAAGGTTTCATACCAGCTGTTCGCTGCTCTATGGTCGTTCAATGCGCGTTCCCCATGTATCGGAGAGAGCTTAGCATCTTGAGATTGGTTGCCGCACTCTTCGACGGCTTTGTCGAGAGATTAGCAGTCTGTATCCTCGAATGGATGCAGATAGATATGACGCTTAATTTGTTCTGCAAATAGTTCGCCTTAACAGGGTTTAAGTAGACGAAGACGAACTTTCATAGGCTGCTTATCAACCCTTCTTCACGATATTAGACGTGAATTCCCACCCGGTGTAACTTGTCTCCTCATTCGTCTTTCAGGCGATCGTCGGTATCTCGCTCCTTAAGTATATTTGTATACTCTGCTCGTCACGTATCTCCAGTGTACCTATCTGGCCTGCTAGGGAAAAACCACCACGGCAGGCAGATGTCAACGAGTACAACTGTGATGCACGCATTGTGTTTTCAGTTTTACCTGTCGTTGTTGTCGACTCTTGCATTGGATTTGGACCCGGTCCGATGTCTTTAGTGCTGGTTGAAGTTGATGCACGTCCTGTAATTGTGCCCCAATTTCACCTTGAGGTGCACGTTTGTTGTGGAGGATGTCTTCAAATCATTGAAGTCGCTCTGTGGTGTCTGAGATAGTGCAATTGTGTGTTAAGAAATCAGACAACACGCTTACCATGTCCTCGTCTCGTTACACAGTCAAGGTTAACTTGTTGACACTTCTCTTCTGTGGCGAATCCTTTCATGATTCAAGCTGCAGGATCCGTTCTTACTTTTAAAGGAGTCACTTCCTGGTTCAAACGTAGAGGCGGTCTAGATTATAGCAACCGTCTTTTTGCTTGCCTGTTCTGCTGAAGTGATTTTGGAGATTTTTCAATGCCTTTTGAAATGATGGTGATTCTTTAATGATAACTTTACTTCAAAACCCAAGGACCGACCTGATTTCGTCCCGGTGTATGTTTGGAACGCCTGGAGGAAATTTTTAACAGATGACTGTTACCTGTGCAGTCTATGCTGACGGCAGTATCTGCCTGGATATTCTACAAAACCAGTGGAGTCCTATCTACGACGTTGCTGCTATCCTAACTTCCATTCAGGTACCTTGCTAGAATGGTTTTGCCCTATCTCATGATTTGAGGCTGTAGGCCATCTTTTTTTCGAGAAGGGTCCCTGAAAAGGATACCCTTCTAATTTGGACCAGGCGAGATGGATACCCTGTTTTCAAGAAAGTATGCTGTCGTTTTTTCTGGGGTGCCTAATTCTTCTGTGTTACTACTTGCAGGGAATGGCCTGACAGCTTTTTGAAATTCTCATATGCATCGTGTTAAAGCTTACAGCTTTGTGATTTAATGGGTATACGGGGTTGTGCTGAGTCTGTCTACTTATGTTGCTTCTTATATTTTATTTTTCTGGCATTGGTGTAGTCACTGCTGTGTGATCCAAACCCGAACTCGCCAGCAAATTCAGAGGCCGCTCGTATGTATAGCGAAAACCGTCGAGAATACAACCGAAGAGTTCGAGAGATCGTGGAGCAGAGTTGGACAGCTGAGTGACCTTGCTGTTGTAGGACTTATTACCTGCATCGGTTCTGTCTCTCTGAGGGTTGAGAAAGTAAAATTTTATTGAGGGTTCGAAGGTCCAGTGTGAAGAGCTGCACTTGAAACCTGCGAGACTTGTGGACTGGATTTGGCATGCTTGAGTGGGTACGAGTCTATAACGGTCTGTATACTTCTTACTCCACATGCATCCTTCTGGATTCAGCCCCTCGGTTGCGGCTCGCAAGGAATCCTTGCTGCTGTAATCAGCAGTAACTTGCAGATAGTTCGTTTGAACTCAAATAGGCCAAATATAGGAGTAGTATCCCTTGGCCCCTGTAACATTCTGTAGAATCTTTATATTTCACATCAGCCATGTCAATCATCCTCTCAAAAATTCTTCCATATTGACATTCGTCATGTGAAAGTTATTTTGGGCTCTGAGTTAATCTCTGCCGTCCAGTTAGCAGTGTGAAAAAACCACAGTAGCAGCTGCAGAATATCTTCTATTCGAACTTGTTACTGTGTAGGTCAGTACAGACAAATTGATGATAAGTATTTTTGTACAAGGCCGATGACACTCTCAAGTGTTGTGTGTATAATCGAGTTTCTCCTTTCGTATCACCCATTTCTAGAATGCTCAGAGTCTGTAGTGTTGAAGTCTTCGTCGATAAGTTTGCTGTCTCGTTTGGATGAGTACGATGGATTCACATATTTCTCAGTAGGTTGCCTTTTCACTTCGTCGAATCCACGCCTTTTTGAACAGCCTGTGTTTTGGGCAAAGTGATCTCCGCGAGGACGGGCACATCACATGGTAACTGCATGGCCGATGCAGGATTGATGGCAGTTATTCTGTATAATTTCCAGGTCTGGGTTGTATATTCTGTCCGTCTCAACTCGTGTATTTCAGGACTCGTGAGACGAATACATCGTTTATTATGTGTACTCCAACCTCTGACTTGGCGAACACCGCCACACCTCTTACTAAGTAAAATGAATGTAACGGTTTGAATTGTGTTTCATTACACATTTATATATATGGGCCGTGTTGCGATTAACTATGTTTGTCCCTGCTTGGTCGACTTTATAGCTTGTGCCTTTTGATTCGGTCAGTTGCGTTCTTATGTCGGTTAGTTAGGCAGAGCGGTAGCCGGGAAAAATTGTCATTAGGCTCATCTGGTGACAGGTTGGAGTTCTTCTCTTCTTCCTGCTTTGGAGTCACTTTCTTTGATATCATATAGGTTGGTGTTTCAAAAGTGCAATGGTTACTACAGATGGATATCCCGGGGTGCATTGTCCAATAGTATTGGATCATGAGTGCCGGTAGCTAACGTTGTGAAGGTTGTAATGGTTAGTATTTGAAGGCCGGCACTCGAAACAATCGTACCATGGGCTAAAAGTTCCTATCACCATTCTGCTTCAGAGGAGGTGCAAATCGTGTTTTTGGACGGATTTGCTCTTAACCCTGAAGATGCCGTCTGATTCCGTCACTTCGAAGTAAGGTCAGAAGTAGCCAGAGACATTTTCATGAGAGCTAACATATGCATGCTCCTCTCCAGGTATTTCTGTAGCGCCGCAGGCGAAAATTTTTTCTCAACCGCGTTTTCACAATCTGTAGCTCACAATATGTAGACCCTAAACCCTGGGCTTGGTGGGGGTGGCGTGGCGTACCCCCCTTAGCTCCGCCCCTGTGTGACTGGCTGTTCTCCTCTTTACCTTTCGAGTAGTAAAGGCCCAAAGCTTAGGCCAAGAGTGAGGCAAAGCATTTGTGAAGAAACGCAGAACAGAGTCGAGGCTAAATCTTGGAAGTCTTACACTCGAATGTGGAAGTGGGAAACCTTCGGATATCTTGGAGGTCCAGCTGCACATTTCGGGAAACTTATATCTGATTAGCTCCAGTCTCGATAGATAATATGACGCCAGCGAAGCATATCGCCAATGAAGGCAGTACTGATTTACGCGCAATCTAGATGTTGCTACGTTCGATCACGTGTAACGTTACAGCCAAATGATTTCAAGGCAACCTGAAGTGGAAAATGCACACATTCTATCATGAAGAGGCGTATGTAGTGGCCCTCTCCCTGGGCTTTGCCCAATCAGACCGTCCACTTAGTGACGATGTACTCTGAACTCTTTGTCTGAGATCGACATTATTGATAAGGTTAATCGAGATTGTATGTTGATATGCTGATTAAATGCTGCTATCACTATGAGCATGTGGAAGTGTACAAAGGGCAAAGAAGAGAACAAAGGGCAAATTGTCTAACTTTTCTAAATTAAGTGATGAATTTTGTAAACTTAAACGAAAATTTATAACTCTCACAAGTTTATTATCATTGTGTACACCATATTTACGTGCACTGTAGAGGGTGGTCCATTCACATCTCTGACGTTTCCTCTTAGTACAATCTGATTGATAGGCCCATGCTCGAAAAGATTTGAACTCTCAATTCCCAGAGCGCAGTTCATCATCCCAGTGATGAACTCACGAAATGGAGGGTTTCAATGCTTACCGTTTCAGCAGTCTTTTCATGTTTGATAGCTATTATGTTCGTTCTTGGACACAATGAGTCGAATGGGTTTCTGTGGAGGCGAGCTTTTAGCATCCTTCCCTGCTTCCGGATTATCATTTAAAAGTTGGTTATAGGCAAAGATTCACTACATTCAAAATTGTATGATTTCATTCATTCATAATAGTTTTCTAATTTACTGAGGTAAAAATAACATTGGATATTTTATTTTATTAAATCGAATAATTATTATTATTTTATTATTTTTATAATGGATGTTGTTTCGCGCCTTATCGCATTTCATGATAAAAGAAATCCAATTCCAGATCATTCCATAATAAACACCAAACTTATACAAATGCACGCTCTCTATATCTGTTTGACAGAAAGAGAGCGTGTATTTTCATGAGTTGAGTTACCGTGTTTTATGTGTAAGTAATCTTTAGTAGATGAAATTATAAGAGATGCACATTTAGAATATAACCGAAAACTTGAATTATAATGTAATTATCGTTATTTACATGTTTAAAATACTCATATATCAAAAAGTTCCAGTCAATGGTACTCGTAAGTATATCAATTTGCACTAACTACTAGGTTGAAAATGAATAGTTTAACAAAAATTGAATTGTCTTTTGTCTAGTTATATAAATATTGTTTGGTACATATTGTTATACACGATATCACTTTATAATCATGAATGAAACAACATTTTCAAATGTTCTATAGTCTAAAGCAAAGTTATGGACGCATCAGACTTATACTAACATGCCGAAGCGGAATCATATCTCAAACTGATCTGTTCTCACATAAATCTAAAAATTGAAGAAAGATTGAAGTTGATCATTCGTGTCATCCATAGCCCATCTTAAACGCGCTACAGAAAGAAATTCATCTACTTAAGTAAGTATATGGTTCCATAAGAAATAAGCACTTTAATCAACTGTCATTAGGGTTCCGTAACTTTACCCTTCCATAACTTACAGAGCCTCATTTTTACGTTTAGTATTAGCTAGCGTTGGTGTCGACTGGAGCATTATGATATTCGAAGTCCGAGTCGAGAAAAAGCGTATACCCCAACGCATGAGGAAATATTCCACGGACACTAGAATCTTACAGAATGAAGGAACTCTTATTTGTAATGCTACGTGGTCAAGGTTTGTCTGATTTGAAAGGATCTGTTACGCGTACACTCCTGATACTCTCTAACATCATGTCTGATGACATACGCGCTCCTCAAATGCTATTCAGCGGAGAGAGTATTGGCAAGTAAGAAACGGTATTGTGAAATGGTATTTACTGTAGTACAAATGAGTATTCACGCAGATACAAGTAAACAAATCAGCGGAGATGCAGTCAAAACACGACAGTACATGCCAAGTCAGCATGTCACAGTCAGTACGTTTCTTGCGAGATTGAGCACCAGAGCGTCCCGGTTCATTTACCTGATCCACTGCACTGTTTTCTGCGAATGGGCTCCACTAGGGACTCAAAGCTTGATCCACCTTTGTATTAGCATGCTCTGATTTTGGAGCCACAACATCTTGGACTCGGGGACCAATCTCCAGGAAATGTGGAAGAAGGCTCAGGGCTTTGCACATGGCAGGATAATCGGAGGTCCGAAGGTTAGCAGCAGAAGTGTTTTGCATGAATCTCTTTCGAGGAGGAGTTGCGAGTAATGTAGCAGAAAAGTCCAATCAAGACGTAGAGTGATGAAACAAAGTGGGTAGGATTATGGTAGCCTCCAATAAGAAATAATATAAACAATATATACACATTTATGTTTTACATATATTTATAAGTAGAACACTGCAACAAACGTAAACTGACATGATTTTTTGCAAATAAATTGCAGATACAATTGTTATTTGTAGAAAAATGGATACATATAATTGAGAAGAAAGTACACAATTTGCCATATAAATTGATTGACATTTTCATCGAGTATGTTCTGCTATAACTCACTTGCTCAGGGACTTTTTTAAATGACTCGATAGTTATATAACTTCGAATAATGGAGGAAAGAAAGGGATGACATATATCCTTACCCCTATATTTAATGTAATTTTGGCTGTTTGGATTATCACTACTTGGAATATTTGTGTCGTCAATTCAGGATTTAAAACCATAATGTAATATCGTTTGTAACAATGACGGGGTTAGCTCAACCTACTGAATATATCCACTGTGGTTTGATTTGGCAACAAGTCAAATGGGATCCATGTTGCATCTAATGCTTGAACCTATTTAGTTGATTAGCAGAGTTGCTTTGGAGCATTGGCCGTTATTTACTTTGAGGATGGAGTCAAGTTGGTATGGGAAGTACTGTAAACATTGCCTACGAAGTTTCAACATCCTAGGTCCAGTACATTGTTCTGGTCCATTTAGAGCTGAAGTCCTTGTGCCATATATATATATAATGCTTATATGCAGTTAGTTTCATGTATGGTTTAAGATTCTGGTCATGTATTACCTTTCTGTGTTAGTTGAGTGATCATTTACGTGGGCGATGTTATATCAAGACTGAAGGGATCACTGCACAGTTCAGCCTTCTTCAAAAGCCTAGCAATGTGAAGTATATGTGAAGCCACAACTGAAAATATTCTTCAAATAGTCCCAGGTATATAATCTGGCTGGAGTTCCGACGCGAAGGGTATATGCTACTGTACAGTGAATGTTCCACGCGAAATATATAATAATACTTTAAAAACATGGCGCTTCTAAGATCTACACTTTGTAAATGATTTTTTCCTTCTTTTTATCAATACTAAAAGCAAAAGTGAGGTACGGATAGTCCAGAGGTTGGACATTAGCTGTGTCCCACCAATTGTGTAGCTCACGAGTAGGTCAGCCAGTGGTGGTAACCGGTCCCAGCCATAAAGGGACGGCTCAGATTCACAGGCCCCATGCTTTGCAACAAGCTCCAGAGGCACTGTAAGATGTGACATCGAGCTCGTAACAGGAATCAGGACCTGAACAGGACTTAATAGAGCGCTCAGCTCAACCGACCCCAAGTTTCGAAAATGCCCTGGCGATGCCCCGTTGCACGTGCTACTCGCATTAGCGTGTCAACTGTGGACGATCACAGGAAGAACTTTGCTCTCCACTGTTGGAAACCATGTGAAGCGCTCAATGAAGTGAGAACGGTGTAGTTCATATCAACGAACGATCACATATGAATCATTAGTTGATTCTTATATTACTTTACGTATCTAAGCGTTAGATATAGATTCTCGAGATATTTCATGTCTATATGATAAAATTTATTATGGATAGTTGCTTTTTCAAATGTGTATTATTCTCACAAATTCTTGCAGAATGTGTCAAAGATATTGTTAACCCATATGTTGTTGATATATATAAGATATTGTTATTGATATCTCATTAACCCAAATGTGAACATCAATAAGGAAGTTATTTTTTTTTAACGAATCTATAGAGAAATCAAAATAGCATCATTGTAATTTAAAGATTTAAAAATCAGTTATTATAATAAAGATATGATTTTGATAAAAAATTAACTTAGAATATATATATTATAGATGATTATAATGCAACTTTGATGAAATACATATCCACATCTTGTTTGTACATAGTTATCAATACATATCTGTATCGATAACTATGTACAAACATTTAGCGAAATTTAGGCATATGAGTTTTATAATAATCATACACACCCCATAGAAACTAAAGATAATACAACTATTGCATATATTATCTGAATCGTATTTATGTTGGCTATGTTTCGATATACTATGTTTCTAACTAATATACATGGTAATATTTTTGCATTTTGCATCTTGACCACTCTTTATTAGTTAGAAACTTACCAATAATCATCATTGAATGTTAATCTAATAATGATGAAATGTTACACGAATTTTCGACTCTCTACATGTAAAATCACATTAAAAAAATTGTCTTAGATGACACAGATAATCATGCAAAGTAGTACTTAAAGTATAAGATTATGTAAAAATAAAGAGTAGTATGCATACATATTTTTCCACCATGATAATATTGGTAGAGTAAGGCAGTTTTCCAACCAAAAAATCATCAGAAAACTATCTGTAAAATTAAGATAGATAGATTAGGGATATGTTCATCACTCAATTGACCTCAACTTTAATCTTCAAAGCTTCAATGATGTATATGTCAATAGTATGCTTAGCAGATCATTAATCACACATTATAATAGGGCAGATCGAATTGATCACATATGTACATACTTTTTTAAGAAAAAGATAAAAGATATAAATTTGGGTTATAAATTTCTTTCACACGATGTAGTCACTCTCTTGACTTTTGGCATAAAAGAAATGGATGGTCTAGAGTATAACAATCACTCGACCTCAAAAAAGAAAAATATGTCAAATGAGTCTCGTATGCATCTAGATCTTGATCACACTCACCTATTCGCATGCTAGAGGCTAAATCGAGCCAATTGAATGTGCATATGTGTTCTTGAATGGTTGATGCGAAGAAGATGTGATGGAGGGTTCAGCAATCAACCGTAAGCTTGGAGTCATTGCATCAGCACAGGCGGATGTTGGCTCTAGATATCACCAGGAAAGATTAGTCATGCACAATGGATGAAAAAGAATTCACGTATATAAGTGAGGATACACGGGAAAAAAAAACGTTTGGCACATTCATACTGCAATGTAACTCAATGATGGACTTCTTCACATTATTTGAATAGACGGCTTCAAGAGCAAGAAAACGTACAATATTTTCAAGGTATATTACTCTGACTGTTCCTTAATCTTCCTGTGATATAAGAAAACCTGCAAAAATCTGCTGGTTTGGAAATAAGCAAGAGTGTTTTACTACAGTGCGGGTGTAGATCAAAGCATGGCTATGCCTTGATGAGTAAACAATATATTACTCAAAAGTGTTCGATATGCTCTAAAACAACTTCTCCTATTTATACCTGCATCTGAGGATATTTTCCTCAGAATATCCTCCTGGAGCATAGTGGACCAGCAATTACACAAGACATACATTTGGCTCGCTGGGTACTATCTGTGATTCTTTGCAAAGGTTGGTCCCGTACTTCCTTCCTCGACGAGTGTCAATGGTTCACGCGAAGGATTGAAGATCCAGTACAATTGTAGAATGGTCATGGGGAAGATGGCACCACGGACTGTGTGCAATCACTGTCCTCAGTTATCACATCAATTTTTTCTCAAGAATCTTATTGAGAAAAAAATGTCCCGCTCATCTTATTATAAGATGAGCGGGTCGGGGGATCACCAACTCAATTTTTGAGCTTAGAGTTGATGAAGCCCGCGGCCTAAATTTGGACCCAGCCAAGTCCATACCTCATCAAATTGTTGATCCTACCGTATAGATTCGTGTGTTGTCGGTCGAGAACACTTTTTTTTTCAAAAGGGTCAAAAAATTTATTTTGTTTTCTATTTTAGTATATTGATAACCAAACAAAGACCAGCCAATGAACCAAAACCCCACCAATAACTTATATTGCTCGGAAGTACCGAAAGAGTCTCCGATTCGCCAGTATAGAACCTCATCTTAAATACAAGGAAACCGGCTTGCTCCATACTTTTGGGCTACCCCCGGGTAGGGTAAATGAAAGCGTCCATTTTGGTTCAGTCCGCGACTCTTTTCACTGGACGAAGGTGGCCCGCAAACGATAAAGGAGTCGCCAACCAATTCAGGTTCGTATAGAGATCAAGCGAATCGCACTAAGTGTGTTTTGTTACAGGGACTGAAAAAATCCAAGTAAAACTTTTTGCGGTCTATAAGATTTGACACATCATTGACATATCCCAAAATGCGGATACTTCTTTGGTTTTACGAAAGAAGGGTCCATAGACCTGAAATGGCTTTTCCGCACACGCCGGCCGATACAACCGGACTCGATATGTGAAATCGTCTTCGACCATATGTACTGATTCATCAATTTCGGGTGACATGGTCCACGCCCGGACAATGCACTTGATCAAATATATATATATATATATATATATATATATATATACGACAAAAATGAAATTACTAATATACGAAAATGCTGTTAGACAAACGCTATTTTTCCTATTAAAAAACAGCCACCTCAAACCTTTGCTATTAACGAAGAAGAATTTGAATTTTTAAAAATCATCAACTCCTGAATCAATCAAAGAGTATGAGATAATCTTGTACATTGGCAGGACTATGAAATTAGCAAGTGAACTTAAAAACCTGCTGTTCATCTTGCTTACAAAATGAACCAAAAATTTCATCTTCTATATACTACAAAATCAAATGCCTGAGATATCTGAATGTAAAACGTTTGGTTTCACATCATCACAGAATCAGGCTGAAACCTTGTGAATATCACATGGTTCTTGTAATAGATTTTTTTATTTTATTTTTACATAAATAATACAACTCGTGGAAACTTGTTGCTTGAAGGAGTAGTGATCTCACGGGAGTGAAAGTAGAAATAATCGTGTGAACTTTTTCAACTTGGAGCTGTGCCGATTTTTCCTTATTGGGAGACAATGCCAACCTTATTCAATTTCGGATACTATACCAATTTTCCAACTTTAGAGGTTTCTAGTACTGTCCTAGAAGTAGAAATAGAGAGTCTTGAGACATTGTGTCTCAGTCTCGTAAACACCAGTCATACATGCTCAATACCAATATCAATACCACTTATAGCTTTCTTGCTTTGTCTACTTCCAACTTTATGGCTTTTCATGTACATACTTCCAGCTTTCCCCTTTTTGAGTGTTGGTATTTCTTATTTCCGAGTATTGTGTGAGTTGCCGTCCACGACATATGTATGCGAACTTTGGTGCCCATGTACCAATACAGTAATATTATAATTGATGATACTTCCACATCTAGTCTACTTCCGTCTCGCAGTTCAGTCCGAAGCCAATTCATAATGCGAGGAATTTGACGAGGATCAGAGGTGTAACCTTTTGAGTGACGCTATTTTTGTCAATCCTATTTCTTTTTTCTTCTTTTGTTGTGAATTTGGTTTTTCCCTGGCAGTCCTTTTTTCCCTCTGACCGTCCCCCTGAGGCCCTGTCACCCAATCCCCGGTACATATTGTTAAAAATACTAGAAAAGAGTGGTCCAAACCAAGAGTCCAATGAAATGGATGATTTGAAAATGATGTTCTCTTTTTTAGATATTAAACCTCGTAAGAGAGGAGAGTCACCATGTTGTGGCGACATTCTAGAAACCAAGGTGAAACCTCAACAAATTGTGTAATCTTGATAATATTATATTTTGATTATTTGAACAAGACACAGATTCAAAATATTGTCCTAATGATCTGAGTAAACTTCTTGGACTGATATTAGACGGAAAAGTAAATGCTTCGGGAGACTTAGGCAAATGAATTCGGCCGTGATGTTAGTGTAGATGAGATGGTTTAACACGAAGTTGCTGCGGCGCGGAGAAACCCCTTCCTAGCGGGGCTCTCTTGCGAGTACATGTCATCACTGCGTATATCTCAGACTACCCGGACTAATAGTTCCACTGCACGGCAAAATAACATATGCCAAAAAATAGCAAGAAGTTATTGTAGGCCAAATGAGGCTAATCACACTAACAAGTCATCATCCCTATATCATTGGTGCTAGATAGAGCTTACTCATGAACTTTCATGAACAAAGGCCTTACATATGAATGAGATGGTAGTATGAGAGTATGGTAGGTTGACCTCGTCAACCGACCCAATATTGGTTTATCGAGGAAAAAGCTAAACGGCGACCGATTTCTGGCTTCAATAGAAAGGCAATTCAGAGCCTTAATTTCTACTGAACTTTCTTTGAAGCCTTAGGCTGAATAATTGACAGGAACGAGCGTTAATTCTTTACACACCAGATAATTGCAATCCTGCCCTACGGTAGACGTCCAAAGGCAGTCGCCTCTTTATGAGTAGATTCAGAGGATTCCCCCTCGCTACGGTCATTCCGAACTTCTCTTCAACATCTACGTCCAGATGAGTCAAGCCTTCGGGCAGGGAGATTGGGCACGCATGAATCAGCTGCGCGATGTTATATGCCACATTGACGAGCGCCAAATTCATGCCCGGACACCTCCTTCTCCCAGCACCGAAGGGCAGAAGCACGTAATGGTGCCCTCGCACATCTACAGGGCTGTTTAAGAATCTTGAAGGATCAAACTTCAGAGGATTTTTCCAAACCTTGGCATCTCTGTTAATGGCATAATAGTTCAGCATTACCTGGGTGTTGGCAGGGATATCGTATCCTGATACTTTCGTTGCCTCCGTAGAAAAATGAGGAATCCCCAAACCAACGACTGTGTGCAGCCGTAGTGTTTCCTTCACCACTGCCTGCAGATACTCGAGGTTGTTGAGGTCTGCTTCTTCAACCAGCCTTTCTTTACCGATCACATCGTCGAGCTCACTCTGAAGTCTTTCTATAATGTTGGGATGCCGCACAAGCTCAGTGATTGCCCGCACAATCGTATCAGGTGTAGTCTCAGCTCCAGCAGAGATGATGTCCTGATTGATGGATCACCGATATTAGTGATCATGTGCATACGAGATGACGACGATATAGCTAGTGAGCATATTGATATTCGCTTCCATGTAGTATTGCCACTGTAATTCTTAGACTATATTCTGCACTGAACTTGCAATTTGTCATCTTTACACTATTTGTGCACTTAACTTGCAATTTGCTGTAAGAAAGAATTTAGAAGAACGACGATACAAATTTGCCTATGTTCGTGTAGGTGCAGAAGAAAATAAGCTCAAAACAGCGTTATAAATTTGATACATAACCTGGACTCTTTCGACTCATAGCTAGCTATCAATGTCAGAAAGAAGACAATCGTCATGCAATATAGTATTCGAGCGGAAAAGGTCGGGATCTGTCACCAACCAGAAGAAGTACTTTGACTTGAACACGTGAAACATTGCTCATAGCTAACAGCACGTCCAATAAGTCCTCTTCAGTATTCGACTTGGAGTTGGAATTTTCTTTCAGACGGTTGTCGATGATGGAATCCATAAGTTCTAAATATCTTTCACTTATATTTTTCAACCTTCTAACTTTTCCGCTCAGATCAAGTGGCTTAAGCAGAGGGAAGACTTCTTCTACTAGGAATCATCCTGTATGCGATATATCATAGATTATTTCCAGAAGGTCCTTGGTCTGAGCATGTCCATCCATGTCTATTCGAAGTAACATTCGGGTAGTCAAAATTAAGAAGTCTTTGTGCAATAAATCAGCTAATTCTATGTAACGATTCGCATGACCCTCCTCAAATGCGGTCCGCAAAGTTCTCAAAGCCATCTCTCGCCTTAAATCCTTCACAAGTCGCTTTCTAAACGTTAATGGCGCAAAAAATGGCGACATGCTGCACCGGCGACAGAAGGAATCCTGAGCTCAACGAGAGAAACATGAGCGGGTGTCCGTGAGAAACCACAGGAATGAAAACTCTTCTTGCGAAGGCCAAATGCGAGCCATTTCGCAGTTTGTGAGAAGAACAAACTCTGTAATTGGAAAAGCCTTGAGGAAACTAAGAACTAATTCTTTGTTCTCGGTGTCAAGGACAGAAAGCAGTAGCACTTTGTACAGCAATTCCCTCAGCTATCTGTAGGCAATGGTTGTCAATATGAGATGCTCTTCAAAGAAAATGATACCTCTTCTATTACACATGACAAGTCGATGTAATTCTTAGAGCCCAGTCAATTATTCCTTAGAAGGAGATAGTGCATGTGACCAGACTCTTCCAGCCAATTGGACTTGTACCTTAAATGAGTCGATCCGCTTTTGTGAGAGAAGTTCTGTGGTAAACACTTTCCGGGCTCGACGAAAGTTGTCATTCAAAGGACTAAATACTAGATCCTGACCTTTGTTGAACACCAGGTCCGTCATAATCCCTGGAGGGCGAGACGCAAATATGTGATCTTGAGTCTTCAAAACCTCCCTGGCGATATCTGAAGAAGTTACAACCACAAGACGTAAAGCTCCCACTTCCAGCCACACTATGGGTCCATATTTTTCAGCGATTTTGGTGAAGGAGTGGTGAGGCAACCCGAATAAAAGGTGATGGAGATGGCCAATCAATGGCAACGATGGGGGACCAGGAGGTCGTTTCCCGGCCGTATATCTTACTCTCTTGAAACTCTTCAGCAGGACGTACAGGAAAACCAGTGCTGCCATAAATTGCACAGACCAGCTCGTGAGTACAGCAATGAGGTCCTCCATGTCTCTCACCTCTATGTCTTGGTCGACGCAGATGAAAGCCCCGGACTGAAACAATGATTTCACTGATGATCGAGGCCAGAACACGGGATCCCAACAATTTGTGGTATTTGAAGTGTCACCGCAAGCTAAGCAAGCCAAGCATGCAGACCCAAGTCCATGCAAGCTGACTTCGGTTGTCCCGTGTTCGGGAAAAGTAATCTCTTAATTTTACTAATTATCCAGGAAAGGGTATCATATCGTCAGAGAAAGGGGGTATGAACAGGAAGATTAAAAAAAAAAATCGAAAAAAAAAATGTATAAGTATTAACAAAAAAAAGAAATGCAACATAGACATGCGAACAACGGAGCCCGTCTATGATTGGCTGGGCGCACGTTCGATTCCGCTTGTACACTTTGAGGTAATGGCGATGAGGTAGGAGTCAAAATCAGTTACATCAGATGTTCATATTTTGGGGTGGAAGGGAATCTTGCAGACTGAGATCGATGGACAGTTTATCTGCAATGGAATAGCTGATGGAAAGTTATTCCGTCAGAAGTGAAAGACACGAAATCTGAAAGAAAGCTTATCTCTCAAATGAAAAGCCTTTACCAGTGTAATTTGGGTCACCCTCTGAATCTAACATAAGCAGTGATGGAAGGAGTTTATATACCCAAAGGATCGTGATTTTTCCTTGAGCATAAGCTCAAGGAAAGTCACAAAAGACATCATTCCCATAAAGTACTGGCACAGATCCGAGAACATGTTGGATCTCATCCACTCAGATATAGTTGGTGAGATGCCTAACAAGTCTCTACAAGGTGCACAGTATTATGTAGCTTAGAAGATGATAAGAGTAGAAGAGTTCTCTGTAATTATTCAAAATCAAAAACGATGTGCTTGAGAAATTTAAAGTTTTGCTACGAAGGTAAACTCAGACTGAAAGAAAGTGAGAAGACTCAGATCTGATGGAGGACTCGATAACAAGAATAAAATTTCTATTGTATCTTATTTGCAACCCAAGAACTAATCATACAGTTCGCTATAGGAATGTGCTTTTAAATCAGGATTCTGTAAAGCTGCAGTTGTCACCTTTCTCTTGGGCATCAACTTTATGGCAAATTCAGGTACAAAGTTGACTTTCTCCAGCACCATCGAATTCTCTGTGTCCTCCAAAAAAGAAACAGCGATAATTTTTCACTCCAAGAATCGGATAATCATCATCATTTACTTATCCTATATATCTCAAAAACTTCTTCATTTGAGAGCTACATGCTAAATATAAATACCAACCACCAATTTCAGTTTCTCAGACTTTTTCTTTGTACACTCATGTTGCTGAAATCACCCTCTTCAAAATTTGAACGAACTTCCTCTATCAAGTTTGCTGTATCTAAGTAAACTTGATTCTCTTATTCTAGTGCAGCAGTAGTGAAATTTTGCCATGTGAACGGTGATTTCAAAATCTTCATTACCAAAGCATTCATTCCTGCTCACCTTAATCCATCTAGCATCTGCAAATATTACAATTTTGCTCAAAGATATGATTTTGCACCGTACATCCCATGCATACGCAATATCTTCCACCATCTCCAAGTTGGCATTCTTGAGTTTTTCTTTCAAAATCCTCAAAGTACCAAGATAATTGGACTGAAAAATCTTATCACCAAAGCTCTCCTCGATGCTCTCAAGAGCAGAACGATAGTACATCCAGTAGCTATAGAGTTTGAGAATTTCTTCTGTAATTGAGTGTGTTGAGGTTCTCAAATCTATCAATGTCCCTTTTCCCACTGGGGACCCAAGACAATTTGAACGTTCACTATAAAAAATTTCTCCATAAATTGACTTTTAATTGATGATTCTACAATATGTAATGTGGGAGTCATTGACAATGCCATTATGACAAAAAATGCTCAACTAATGAGCACTGTCAATGTATCATTTAGATCTATAAAAATTTCCAAATTTCATATAGATCATCTAATCTCAATGTTGAGACTCTAAACCGAAAAAATTATACCCTAAAGCAATGGTGGATGAGTTTTCATCACCTGCCAAGGTAGCCCTATCAAATATTCATTATTGATAGTAAATGTAAAGTTACCGAAAAGTGAGGTTTCCAATAACTCTTAAATGTTATAAAAGTCTTGTCTTCTATTTAACTCATAACATATTCTTATCGTATTTTTCTCGTAAAAATGAAGAATTTATTTGTTGGAAATGGCACATTATTATAAAGATACAAATTGCAATACAAAACTTGTGTCTAAATGAGTTTGAGTATCGAATGTGGAACCCGATCTTTTAGTTTTTTAGAGATTTTTATTTCGATTTAACATCAAAGTGTCTTACGTGTAATTTGTTTCTGGTGCAGTTCAGTGAAATATTTCTTGACTTAGTCGTCTTAGAGCTAACTCTTGCTCAAAAACGCTGTACAGATCAATTGTCCGTTTTAGTCATGGAATCAATTATTTATCTGAATATGTTATCCGCTTTTAGACATGGAATCACCGTATCTTGCATGTTTGTGTTGTGAGACCGATTAGTATCGACGCGAGTAGAACACACTAGAGATAATGATTAGATTTGTAATACTAGATTTCTCTTGTCTTATATGCTTAAAAACAAGTTGGCCATCTTTTCCTTCCATTCTAGGTAGAGTAGCGATACGAGTCACTACTTATCTGAGATAAGTATTGACTCGTATATTACACATCGACTACAGATAAGTTATTTGTAGCCCGTCTTTCAGTAACTCAATTGAGTAAGAATCCGATTAACCGGATTGATTGATTGGGCCTTGAGAGTTGGTCAAGAACAGGAGGACCCGGACGAGGACGAAACAATGATGAATGATCTTTACAGCCGGTCATTCGTACCGAGTGCTATCATAAGCTCGGATTCTATCGAAAGTGGCGAGCCGGTTGCATCCACCGGGTGTGCATGGTATGCTAGAAACGCTAGCGCTGCAAGGAACATGTGATAGTCATTGATAAAAGGTTCACCATATCCGGGTACACGTGACGTGTCTAGATAATGGAAAGCTGACCGGGATAGCTATGAAAGTGCAGCAAGAACCGCTTACCAAAGCCAGACTTTCATTTTACTTTCATCTTTCGAGTACAAGAGTAGGAAGAAGTACAGCGAAATAAAACGACACAAAGAGTACGGGATTAAACAAAACATATGACATGATGCTACAATCCATTGGCATCACCATGAAGTATACATGCTACAGAAAATTATTTTTCAGTTGTCATATTTGAAAACTGTTGTGTATAATTTTTTTTCATGTAATATTGGTGGTAAGTAAAATATAACAGCATGAAATAGATTTTGTCATGAAACATTAATACTGATCGAAATTTCTCTAAAATAATCACAGAGGTGTAGGTACATAAAAAAACAAGTTTCCGATATGAATCGAAATCAATTGAATAATTGCAATATAGTCTAGCGTACTGCACACCATAATCAATTCTCTATATACATAAGAAGTAAATTTATGTTATATTAATTTAAATGTTACATATAATGGTTTAAATATTAATTTGAAAACTTTTTTTATTTGAAGGATAAAAATAACAAGAAAATAATTAATAAGTTATAAGTAATTAAAATTTGATTGAAATATATGTATTTAATAAAATTGATAAATATATAAGATTTAAAATTAATTATTCAATGGAACTAGAATTAGAATAGAATTTTTAGGCTGATTTTTATCTTTAATAGAATACTAATCAAGTTTAAAACTATTATCTAAAATTTCAAATTATTATATATTATAAAAAATTAATAGAAATAAAAATAATTATTTAATATATGTATTTAATGTGTAGCACACTTTTTTGATAAATTCATAAATTATCTAAAATTTTATAGATGAAAATATTATTTTTTATTTTTCTTAAATATAAAATATTATTAAAAATAAATTATAATTTCATTTTTTAGGGTTTAAGATTCAATTATAATAATTACAATTACAATTAAATTTTCACAATGGAATTTTTACAGTTATATTTATATGTGTTATATATCAATAATCTAATGTCATTGTTGCATGTTAAGTCAGGTATTTAAATTAAATAGATCAAATTGTCTACAATTAGTAAAATTAGCAGAACCTTCAAGATATATGAAAGCTATTACAAAAGCTATTTTGAACACACTTTTAGAATTTTATTAGTTAAATTGAAGCTCACTTAGTGACATAATCTGCAGTTTTGAACCATGTATATCCGGTGTCGGTTTTGCATTTGCGTATTAGATCTTGTGTTGACGGTTGTGAATGCATTTCAACTTAATTTTTTATGAATTAACTTGACAATCAAAGATTTAGATTTTGTTTACTTCATGTTATTCTAGTTTGTCACAATGTAGGTTTCGCTTTGAAGTTGTACAAGTATGATAAGAAAGTGAAAGAGATAGACAACATATACATTAATTCCATGTTTGAGACAAGTATGGGGTAGAATAGAGTCATGAAAATGAACAAAATTCCAAGTTAGACTTAAGAATATTTGATACCATAAATTTTTCATAAAACTATGTTGTTATTTTAATTTATGAATTTAATTTACTAAAATGTAGACATTTTTTGTAATAATATTTATTATATTAAAGTGTTATTTTTACATTTACTATTTCAAAATTAAAATAAAATCAAATATTTTTTCAAAAAAATATTATTATACTATTAATATCATATTTTGAAACTCAATGACATATTTTCAATTCAATTTCATATATTCATGACATACAAATCTAATAATAAATAAGTGAAGTAGAAAGTATAAACTTCCAATAGTGATAAACATTGATGCTAAGGTTATATGTCAATATTAAAAGATGTCACAATAACAAGAGAACCCTAACAAGATTAAAGTGTGTAGTATTTTTACCAAACAACATCTCAATTCCATAACTTTTTATAAGTGTGCGGTTTATTTCCAAGCTAGTAATTAGTATTATGAATTCTTCATAACAATCAACGTTGAAGTTGTTATTGTGTTTATATATAGAAATCTGCATACATTTTCATTATTATTACGTTTCAATATAGAAATCTACACACATTGATTATGTTA